GGCTGACCTGACAAAGATATGACTGACAGAGGATTAATTCTGTTGCTAGATAAATAAATTGCTAGATGAGTTAAGAGGAGAAGTTTCTTTAAGACTTAAAATGAAGATATCTATAGTCCTGTCAAAAATATACTATTTTATGTCCTGTACTGTAAATAAGAATGTGCACTTACCCTATCCTGAACACTGAAGATGATCAGCTTTTTGGCTAATATTTGTCAGTCTTACATCACTGCATTACAGTTCTGATAAATATTCCCTAATCTTTGTCTTACATCTTATCATTCACATAAATCCTAAGTTGTAGGAGATTCCTGCTAGATAACTTCTCAACATACAGGTTTCCCACCATCACCAATCATTTATAGCTGATCTTTCTTTTTTCCTTTACATTTAATTCTCATTAATTTTAATTAGTCTTAGACTAAGAGCAAACACTTTAGCACAATTTACAAGAAAAAATGAAAAGAAAAATAGTACGCCTGCCAGATGAATTTTCCCAGAGCTCTCACAGCACTAATTTACACTGCAGACACACCAGGATGTGGTTGGGAGAAGCCTTGCATTTCCTGCTTGTGCATGCTTTGGATGCATGACCTTAAGATGTCAGAAAGTCAGTGGGTTATGGAGACAAGTCCGGCTTTAAGGGTTATGCTTTCTGGCTCATAGATATGAAGCACGTAAACAACATTTGAAAATACAGGATTCAGTTTTCACAGCTCAAGAGAAGTCATTGGGTTAACTTTTCTGCTTTTATAGAGACTTATGTATTTCTGCCTATAACTTCTTGATCTCTTCAGCTTTTCATTATGCAAATTTACCAACAGGGAAAGAATGACATGAAGTGACACAGAAAAATAATTTGTTATCAACATTGAAATTTTTTTTTTATATGCTTAATTATAAATACCCCCCCATACCTCAAATTTCAGATTTGTTTTTCATTATTTATTACTCACAACTGATTTCTGCTCAGCTTCTAAAATGTAGTGAGTACTGCATTGGTAAGGATCCTTGGGTCAGATTTAACCTTCATGACCTGCCATCCAAAATAGAAAGAGAATCTTAATGGGATGCAGCTGCAGCTGAACTGCACCATCTGATCTGGTAGAAGAGACCCTCAGGGGCTCCCAGAAGTCTCTTATGAAAATCCACCATCACATTAAAGGACTAAGATGATTTCCTTACTTTGTGGAACTCATTTTTCAGTGACTAGAGATGACATTCCCAGGCTTCACAATACTTGTGGAGAACAATGTCCTTTGTACTTTTCAGTACTTGATAAAATACTTTGTATACACTTTCTCTGACACTATTGGAAATGTCTCTGTGAACCAGGACATTCCTGCCTCTCCCTAGCCCTCCTTAAAAGCTATGCACTGCTGAAATATGACTCAGAAAATAACCCACCCAGCAGGATGCAAATATTACAAAAGAGGAGCGCTAACCTCTTCAGAGGTCTGGTGGCCAAGACACATAGCCTCTTTGACTCCCAGAATAATTCCAGGAAGGCCTTTTTCACTTATGCAGGATTAAGTCTCTTCTCTAGACTTTCTCTGTTCTCTGTATCACACTTGTAGTCCTGAAATATAAATAGAAAGATCTTGCAAGATGTATTTTTTTCAAAGACAGTAGTATACCATACTTAATGCTCCCTTGACACTGCTCCAATGGCAGTGATCTGGCACCTTTTCCTAGAAGATGGGAAAATACTATTTGAGATTTCCAAGAGTCAGGACTGCTAAACTTCCCATGGCTCTTCCAACTGCTTGCATCAGTTGCTAAATGCAGGGAGATGAACAAAGCCCTGAAAGATAAACTGAGCACTTGATTGAGTTAATTATGATCCTTCATATACAGATTTGTTTTAACCATGCCTGACATGTGCTTTGGCTAGGTAAATATTTACGCTGCTAATTGCTTTTGTGCCAAGAGGTGAAGACAATTAGCTGCATCTACATTCCATAGCGTTTGGCCCTGGGACTCTCCTAGGACCCTCATGGTTTCCTTGGGCTGTCAGACATAGGTATTATTTTGCTCTGTGTTTTATTCAGTAGAAAGAGTCCAAAACAGTGTAAGGACTGTATTGGAGCATTTCAGCATAATGTTTTTATACCATGAAATATACAACATGTTCTTAGTCCCTTGGAGATGGCCAAGGGTACAAAGTCTCCTGGAGGACTGAGTAAGTAAAGGGCTTATTTGTAGCAGACTCTTGTGTGATCCTCCTCCAGAAGGTTTGAGAAGATATGCAGTTTATTCACTGTAAAAGGGAGCCTAAGAGAGAGTAAGATTTCTTCAGAGCAGGCAATTAAGACACAGGACCAGAGAATAAACTGGAGACCTAAAAGCACTATGGGACAATTGCATGTAGACACATTATTTCCCTGATACTGACTGGACTTTTTAACACTCATCAAAGCTATGTGTTGTTTCTACTCTTGACAGTTAAACAAAAAGTTACACAAGAAATCCTTAGGGGCAAAATCTCTCTCCTCCCTGATCTCAGGATATTGAAAAGCTACATTGGGTTTTTCTGTGAACAGCACTCCCATTGATTTAAATATAAAGCATAAGCTTGAGCTAGTTTGTCAGAGGATGGCTATTAAACAGTTAATTGCTGACCACAAAGTAAGGTGTTTCTTATATTCCTTTTAGCAAATACTATGAGTGGAAGTACTTGCAGGCTTTGAATTGGAAAAAGCAAAGCAAAACAAACAAACAAACAAAAAACAAACAAAACAAACAAGAATCTGTAATTAACATCACCTAACCCAGCCCTATCTTCATCTCTTCTTATATTGTTTTTAAACAATATAACTACAGCTGCTTAAATGACCTTACAGATTTTTTTTTTCTTTCAAAATAGTCAGCATCATTTCATTTAAAAAAAACAGCCAGAACAAGTTAGCCATTTGTTTATTTTTCCTTCTAAGTGGATCCTGGCAGGAAAAACTTTTAATTGTTGATGGTATCCTCATACACAGACTTCACCTCCAGCCATGCTCCAGTGTTTAGGTTCCCTAGGAGGGCAGCTCTTTTATTACTGCACACTGATGTCAGCCATCAGGAACACAAGGGTAGATGACATCAATCAACATCAGGTAATATTCAGCATCATCTCTGCTGCCTTCAGAGCAAATAGATTCCTCTCATCACAACTGCCTGGGTCCTTTCTCTGCTAAGGGCTCCAGGAGTTTTGCCACTGATATCAGATGTTGAATAAGATCCAATATAAAATGCCCACTCTAAAATACCTGTGGCTATATTATCTTGTAATCCTGGCAAAGCATTAAAAACTGTCATCTTACTTTAGTGCCTTTTACATCAGTGCTACTCGAAAGTCTTTAAGCTATTTTGGACTGTTTATACAATGCCAGTGTTACATATGGTTTCATGAAGAGCCACATATTATTTATAAAATTGACTGGCAAAGTTCTCATAGATCTGATGCCTTTTTTATTATTATTTTTAACCTATTTTTTTGCTAGTTTAGTTCTTGCCTATTTCAGAGTGAAGTGGACTGTGATGTGGTAGCCAAGATTACTGCCAAAATCAGAGCTTGGGATCTCATCCAAAACTCACTGTGGTCAAGGAGAAACTTGCCACTAATTCAGTAGAATTTGGATCAGGCACTCTTAAACCTCCTCTCTCATACTCTCATTTTGCATCTCTGTAATGCCTTTGGCTTCTCTGGAACATATCCTGATCTGCAGGAGGGAGAAGAGAAAAACACTTCCTTTTGTATTTATTTTCTTAAAACATTTTCTTTTACATTGTTTCAAATGGTTTTGATTTATAGATCAGCACACACCCAAAAACAGTCCCTGAGAGCGACAAAGATTCAGAGGCTTGTTTGCACAGCTTTAGACCAAAGTCTGCTTAACTGTGAAAAATAACATTTTTGTAGGCTGTTCCTTCTTAAAGAGCTGCTGGTGCCTTCTGAAAATCTTTGAGGAACAGTTTGTTTAGGAGTGAATCTGCTTAGGACAATATACAGTTTTATTATTCTGGTCACTGTCTGCTAAAAGTCTCAAACAAGGCAACAAGAAAGGTTACTTAAGACTGCAATTAGTAATGCACAAAAACCAAAAATCACATTAAACAATTGCAATCAATTCATGGAACAGAGACAAATGTTCTTACGAATATTGTAGCCCTAATAATCTGTTCTTAGAAAGAGAAAAATGCAGGCAGGCTTTTTTTTTTTTTTTTTTTAAGCTGGAGCAGAAAGCTGTTCAAATGGTTATTTCTCTGCAAAGAAAAAGCACTTTCCTGCAAGTAAATACTGTATACATAGGCAACAACAAATGGTGCACATACCAGCAGAAAATTTGACAAATAGGCACTGTATCTTCTAAAAGTGCTTTCCCTGGGAGACTAAGTCTTCACATTATCATTCATCAGATTAAAATATAATTGGGAAATAATGTTGGGAACTAATTCTGCTAGCTAGATAAGTATTTCCAAGTGTGACAATCCATTACTAGATGTAAAATGATGCTATAACTCCTTCACTGCTGCCCCTGCACTTCTACATGTGGCACAGTAGGGACAGGAGCATACTTCATTGCTCACTCTGTTGCTCTTCAATCTGTTGGGACTACGTGCATGATCACCTGCCCAGCTCAAGACGCTGTCGAGGACCTGTGAGTTCTGCAAATTCCCTACAAGTAGATTACATGATTACAATTTTCCAGTCATAGCTGGATGTACAAAATTATGCAGAGAAACAGCTTCTTACCAGGCATTACAGAAATTGAAGGCAAGTAAGCTAATGCATCTATGTAACTTTCTGTTTACCAGTACTCAGCAGTACGACCATTTGTGTTTTATAAGAGTTAATGAACTCCAGTATCCTGAGCTTTAAGGACGTGGGAGAAGTCAGTATCTTAGTTAGGTCCTGATGTTTCTACTTAGTTTAATTCAGCCCTTACAAAACTCTCATTAAAGTCAATGAATATTTAAAAAAAAAAAAAAAAAAAAGAATAAAGACAGAACCAAATACAACATTCATTTCACTAAATGTCAGCACAAGAACAGCAGGATTTAGCTTAAACAGCATCTTCAGGATTGAACTAACTTTCTTATATCACAGAAAATAAGACATCCCCCCCTCAAAAAACCTAGAAGGCTGAATGCACAAATTTCCAATTTTAACCAAACAGTGTATTTTTATTTACTTCAGTTTTCTATGAGAAAATTTGCAGTCAATCCTCTGCACTGGAGGGTAGGCTGTACAAAGTCACACCCATCCAAGTTGATCTACATGAATATTTCCACTTCTTCCCTTAGCCACTGTACAAGAGAGCACAATTTTATAAAAACATTCTATCATTTTTATCAGTTTCCAGAATCCCTACTAAGGCCTTGCCTGACTTTGTGTCAATCAGGCACATCCGCTCCATTTCAACATTAACAGTCAAGACACTACTGTAGGACGAATCTTTAAGTTGATTGCTGCCTTCAGGCTCAGCTTAGCTTTCAAATTATGTAAACAGTTCAAAGCTTCAGTTCCCTGATAAAAGCTGAAGCTAACAGTTGTGATACCTAATCCGTCCTTTTTATCCAGATGTGAATAACAACAATGAAAATATTCCAAACCCTGAGGAAATGAAATTTCAGTCATGCACTTGTTTACTTTGACATAGCTTTGTCATTTTTGCTTCCTTCACATAAACATGTTTTGTCTGCATGACAGGAAACAGTTAACTGAAACACGGAGCCCTCTCCCAGTGCTTTTCAGATGAGTAAAGCCCAGACCAAAGTCCATATGGTATTCACCCATAAACACAGACACACGACAGGAAAAATGCATTTTAAATCTGTGCACTGTGTGTCTTGGAAGAAGTTTGTCAAATTATGAAAAAAATTCATCTCCCCATAGCACCCTGGGAATGTACCCAGACACTGGATAAGTTCTCATCTGCCTTCAAAGAAAGCACTTGAATAGGTCCCCTTTTAACAGAATAGTGTTTATAATGTAATTTTACTTCTCTTTTGGGATCTATTTCTTTGCCAATGCTACTTTTAAATAGGATGATTAATATTTAAAGTCACTTAATTATCACATGTTAACCCACTTCCAGAACTGGTTACAGCTGTCCTTTGATGTAGAAAGGAACTGAACTCACCACTGCAGCTTTCTCATAAAATGAAGATGTCGGAAATATGGAAAGGAATTTTTTTTCTTCACTCTTTCCTTTTTGGATACACTGCTTAAATTCTTCAGTAATGTTATATTTCAAAAATAGGTGCTTGGAAATTGAATCTATCTTTTTTTTCAGCAAGGTGTCAGCTATGTTAAATTCTTGAATCAGTCATGCTAGGAATTTCCCTATGCAGGCAACAACATTGTGCAGAGACTGCCTGCCATTTGCCAAGCTAAACTTCCAGTTGTTTGCAGTAGTCACTTTACATAATACTTCCTACTACTAATGTTAAAAAGTGCAAACAGGTGTACTTTTTTTCATTTCTCACCTAGCTCCAAAAAGCATTAGTGTATAGGTGAGAGGGTGTCAAATGGAAAGAAAGACTTGTTAGAGGTAGAGGACTTTACAAATCCCCTGCGGACGTATCAGCAGAATCATCCCAGCTCTCTGCCTCTCTGGGTATGACTTGATTCAGGTCCAAGTAGCTTACTTTAGAATTTTACCTTAAATACTGATTACCCTGTGATGAAATTTTGATCCCTGGGGCTGTTCATCACATTGGCCTCTTAGGGAGCGGCTGTGGAGTGCTATTCCCACCTTTGTCTGATTCCATACTCTGGTGGAGGAGTAGGAAATGTTTTTGTGAGTAGGTCCCCCAAAATTGCATCACAAAACCTATATGAGATGGGATGGCCAGGTGTGGATTAAAAGGTGTTCAAATTGCCTTCAATCTAAAAAAGTCAATTAACTTAATGGGCAGGGCTAACTAGTTTCCTGAAATTCTCTCTATTCTTCCATTCATATGTCTACAAAAGACAGACAAACAGCTGTCTGCAAACAGCAACATGACTCTAGCACAAAGTGCTTTAATCTGCAGGAATTGGAGTGCTAAATTATACAGCTAGTATTTAGTCTACAACACAAGTAGCATTCAGTAGCACAAACATAAGTCCATGTCTAGGTGCCCTGGGGTGGAAGGTGTGTATGGCAGGATAGGCATATAAATGGTTATTGCAGACAGTACTGCAGTATTTCTTACTGAACAGATTAATCATTCTCAGATTAGTCATGTATGAAAGAACTTCTTCTATGGATAATAGCACTGTAAGTTGGATTAATCAGGAAATTTGTCTTGTCTATTTATTTAGGTGACTAGCAGTGTATTTGTGTTATTCTGAACTCACCTCAGAAACCATTTGCACTGACCGAATGAAGGTATAGCTAAGTTATAAAGAAGCAAGTGAATGTAATTTATATTATAACAACAACAAAAAAAACCTACAACCTTTTACTGTAATAATAAGCGAAGATAAGAAATTATTTCTGTAAAGATTTACTACTAAGTATATTCTTCTATTGCATGATTTTCAAAATGAATTTTTACAAATAAAGAACAACTTATTAGGCAGTTATCATCTTCAGTGACAGCGTGTTTTCCTCCTTTCATGTATAAATAGTTCAGAAAAGGGGTGGAGAATGATAATGTTCTTATGTCTGGATTATAACTTGACTGACACCTGTCAAAAATGAAGAGGTGGGAAGAAAATAAGATTCTTTCAAATAAAATGTTCCCCCCAAAAAAAGAAACAGAGCCTGATTTAACTTGTTTGTTCTTCTTTCTGCATCCTTTCTGTAAACTATGAATTGTATTTTTTTTAAATGCTGTAGTTTGGGTCACACAACAGCTAGAAACATCTATACTACACCTGAAACTTTTTAATACAAATATAAGGGAACAGTGTATTTTATGTATCTTCAATATTGACTGAATTTAGACTGCTAAGCATATGGGCATGGATAAGTTGCACCTATATTTTAAAAAAAAATGGAGAGACAGATGTATAGAGCCCCTTTTCTTGCAGACTGACTTCTGACATTATCAATAAGCAGATCCAGTTATGCTGATGGCTGAGCTGAAATTGCCTTATACCTTGCTGCAGAGAAAAAGTATAGTGTTAGCTAATACCTGCCTCCTGTACTCTTCAAAGCAGTGGTACCATGAGATGATAAATCAAGTATGAAGGCACACAATGCTTGTTTCAAGGCATCTGTAAAACTAGCATTGAGTACAAAATTGCATAGCTGCATAGCACAAAGCATTAGACTACTAGAAACTCACTCCGCCACTTCACATTTGTTTAGACAGCCCTGAATAGGTAATTTTGTCCTAGCAGACCTGATGTTGCCTCAGGTATTGTCTGTCTGTGCTGCTCCAGCTTTATGCTGGGTCAGAAATCTGCCCTCTTGTAACCAGCATGAACCAGACTAAGAGCAAAAAGCCAGCATGCACATCACATTCTCCTGCTAACGTTACAGGGTTGGAATCACATGTTCATGTCTGATCTGGATTAAATCTACACAATCTAGTGAACTGTATTAAGAAATATATATCATTCAATGAGTTTACATGACTAAAAGACACTGTAGCACACTCACAGGGGCAGCTTAGAGAGCAGATCTAATTGGGCAGGAAGATCTGAGAAGCAGATAGAAAGGTCTGATGGATAGATAGCAAGCCATTTTCTCATTTTTTCTCTGCCTGGAATGTTCTAAAATCCATCTGTTTCTTTGTATTTTGTGAAATTTGATGTGCTTGCTAATAGTAAGTCTGTGATTCATGAATTACAATTCATGGTTTTGCATAGCAGGGAAGAATCCCACCATGACCCAGCAGTCTCTCCTTTTCTCATGTGTCCCCACTCACCACAGCATAGACTCAGGCCTCTATATGCAATAACAGTACAAATATAAATTGGTAATTCTTGAAGGAGACACTACAAAATCAGCTACACTGAATCTGCAGTAAGGAGGAGGTACATGGAATTTGTGTGATTCAGAGCTTCAGAGCTTTTAATTGTTGTTCATGTCTGCTTGAGTTTGTGAATTGTAGCTCATAGAGATTCAGATAGTGGTAGTTTCAGGTAGAGGCTTCCAACATGACCTGAAAATACCAAATCAAGGTTGGAAAGACCCTTCTTTAAAGGCAACAAATTTTTACAAACCTTTCCATTTTTTCTTTCTCAGCGTGCTCCAGAGTATTTCAAATGTCCTAAACACGCATTCCACTTAGCTACAATTTCTTTTCCAGTTTGCTGTCCCTTTACAGATAAAGTAAGGCTCATGATGAAAAGTTAGATAGATTATTAGTAAAGTCAGAATTTAAAGAATGTGATGCATACATTAAGGTCAGTAACTAGGGCATCTCTGTGAATTATGAATCTGATATCTTTTTCTTTAGTGTTGACATGAGTTGGTGCAGAATATGAGAAGGCAACCTACTTCTATGCAGCAGTTCTGTACCTTTTTTTGCCTTTTAGCCCTGGGATTTGAACCTCTTGGGATATTCTTACATTTCCTTCTCTCTTCTTTTAATGAGCCATGATTTACATTTTTAAAAAACCATATGAATAAATTGAAGAAAAACAAATGAACATGTGAAAACAGTAAGTCAGTAAGGTTACAGTAACGCACTCTATGCATAATGGAGAAGATGGAAACAGAAGTGTAGAAAAAAGTCTAAGAGCTAGCTAGGCAGTCCAGGAACACATCAAGGCAAAGCAGCTCTGGCTTATGCAACAGTTAGGATCCTTGTCAAGTAAGTGTAATATCGGGTATTGCGTCAGTATGAAACACATGTAAGCATGCTGTTGCTTGTGAAGAAATGTTTACAGAACAGCAAAGAGCAAATTTTTATATACAGTGACTGAACTGAATGAGAATGGAGCCAAGGAGGAAGCAATATTAGTGTCAGCACAAGGTATAAGCTGTGGGGATGGGAAATGTGGAGGTACAAATACAGCACAAAATGTTTCCTTTCTCAGAGTGTTAAGCTATTTTCACCACAACAGTACATAAGAAGTTTGGGTGACAGAGAATGTCTCCATTTCTTACTAAATCTGTAAGTCATTTCACTGTTCAAACACAGTGAAGGCACAACCAGAAATTTTTCTCCGCATCACTACATACAAAACAAAGGTATGATGACTTCATTCTTTACAAGCACTCTCAAAGATGAACAAAATTAGCAGCATAACCACTCGCAAGAGTAGAAAGAAAAAGGAAAAGGGAAAGGGAAAGAGAGAAAAACAAAGCTTCAACTGAACAACTCCATATATACAAAATGTCCATCAGTACAAACACAGAAATTCAATTACATTCTCTGCCTTCTCTATTTAGTGAATTACCGACAATTACAACATTCATATCTTCACTCTGCCTGCAAACTACACTAAACAGATGGTCCTCGTGCCAGTCCACAAGTTAAACCTGCAGATTAACCCAGAAAAGAACCTGAAGCACCACAGCTCAATGTTGGCTGATGTTGTTCTTAGAAAGGAGTAACTAAAGAGACAAACACAAAATTATCCACAACCAAAATAAACTAGCAGTGCCCAAAGGACTACAAAGCTTTCCTGCTGAAGTTTGCTTTTTCCTCATTCTTCTTAACTGTCCTTTTGTTCCTAGCACAGGATGTCCTTCCATATGCTCAGCATTCAACTGGCAGATCACAGTCATCTTCACCTTGCTGCTGGCAGTCCTGATAGCGAAAAGATACACCACAGAATTACAATGAGGCTTGCTGAAGAGACATGCACTTCATTGCTTCAAAACGCATGTGTACATTCACCAAAGCATCAGATATGATTTATCCAGAGAGGACTCATTCACAACCAGAGCATCAGTAATTTGCCACAACTCGCCTGTTCCCTGCAGATACAGAGAAGAGAGGTGTCACAGCCAGAGTGCCTGCATATGCTTTAGTGGCACCACCAGGGAGCAAGTATACAAGGTTATAGTTACAATGGGATTCTTCCTTTGTTTTTCAGTGAATGCTGGATTGAGCCTGCAGGTGTTTCCAAATTTAAGAGACTAATTTGTTACCTGTTGTCAGATTATTTTCACAGAGAGAAATCACACTGATTTGTTCAGTTGTTAGTTTAAAAACGAAGCATATTAAGATAAAACAGTAAAAGAATCTTGAGAATTATTAGGGACTGAAAGAAAGCATTAACTGGAGTATAGACTTTAAGCTCTCTAGGACAGTGTCTGCTATTGAACACTGTACAAAGCTGAGCATATTGCTATCTCTAAACAAATACAGCAACACCTCTATCACTGAATCCTCTCATATAAGATAAAAGGAGAAAATACTGATACAAGTAAATAGAAAGACAGAAATTATTTACTCAGAGAGAAAATCTGTAAATTGAATTTTGCAAAAAGATTTTCTCCCAAAATCTGGAGTAGTTTGTCAGAGGTATTACTTGCAAACCAAAGTAAGCTTCCAGGAAATGATTGACAAAGTGTTACGGCTGACAATTATAGTTCCAAATACAAAGATTTTCTAATGTTTCTGACTCAAATCATGCTAATTAAATGGATTCAATTAGAAATTTTTTCATTGAAAAAAAAAATTGTCAATTGAAATTTATTTTGAAATGTCAAAGAATTTTACTTTAGAAATGAAAAATTACGCCTTTGTATTCCAGGATATAACAATTATGAATACTGGGCATCATGGAAAACAGTACATGCACCATAAACTCCTACTCTTTTACATTAAAATTTCATTTCTCACTTACCATACACAAATATAAATAACTTTGCAAGATGTTATCATACTCCTGGTGTTTTCTAAGATAATAATAGTGCATTCAATAGTAGTTTAAAAACCTAGGCATTGCAAAACCCTGAAACGGATAACAGAATGTATTGTTCAAACTAAGAAAGGAAGTTAATCAAGGTCCTTACTTGACTACAGCTGTCTTCAGACATAAGCCTTGAGATGTATTTCTTAGACAATGATTAATGAATAGACACCTGAAGAAAAAAAAAACAAAAACAAAAAACTGCCAAATTGGAACTTGTTTGCTTAAACAGAGGGAAGGGAAGGGAAGGGAAGGGAAGGGAAGGGAAGGGAAGGGAAGGGAAGGGAAAGGGATCACTGTTGAATTTATGCAGAAAAGCCAGTTCTACAAGAGAACAAAGCTGCTTCCCATTTTTGACACTGCAAACAAAGTACAGATGTAAGTACTTAAGCACTGAAGAAAAAGCATTCAAGTCCACCATACAACAAATACTGAAATGACTTGAGTTCTAATTGAATCTGAAATTTATATATTTACAATTTGTGTTATAGATTTTCTTCAAATTGAAAAAAAAAAGTTGTCATGAAAATTATACTAAAGAATAAATCAATACCCAAAACACAGGATTTACAGGAGATATGGAGCTCATCAGACAATAGAAATGTTCCCTGAAGTAATTTGGAAACTTGGAGAGCTTACTACACTTACTCTTAACATCATACATGGAGAATAAAGATAATCTTTAATTTCTGCTATTTAATCCATCTCTGTACGAAGAATCATCATCCTATTGAGATCACTTCAAGGATCCTGAGATTTACTGTGGGAAGGAAAATAGAAGAAGTTAGAGATTTCTCCTGCATTACTTATGAACAACATTCACAAATTAATTATCATCAGACAGATACCTAGGGGAAGTCCACTAGATGCAAAACCTATGTTTTTGTTGACACTAAACAACACAAAGATAAACTGTCAGCTGGAGAGTGCTTTGAAGGCTGAGAGGGTTTGTACATGGTAGCAGTGGGCATAGGCTCCCCTGGTACCTATGAATTATTTGGAGCTCTCCTTTAGGTGACAGAGAGCAAGTAAATTTACAGTAGTAGTGAGCATCACTAAACAATTACTGTTGATTACAGAGAATCCTATTTCAGATAGAAGAAATCTAAAATTTTGTTTGCTAGCAAAGTTGGTAAAAATAAAATAATAAACATAACTTAAAAAGGTCCCTTTTTTCTAAGATCCCTTCCTTAGAAGCCAAGAGAAAAACTGAAGCAGCCTATGTTGCTGCAGATGCCTCTTCTGGCAATCAACAACCTCTTGTGTGTAACTAACAGCATCTAACAAAAAGGATCTACTAAAGTTGTTTGTGAAAGAAGAAAAATGATGTTGCTGACAATGCAACAAATACTTACCTGAAATGCTTCACAACATCTAATTGTTTTAGATCTCAGTCTATTAGCTAGAGTTAATTCTTTGGAGGCTCCAGTTTATGTGGCTTCTCCTCTCAAATTCATGTACAGACATCCCTCAGAGAGGATACACTAAAAGTCTGGTAAGAAAATGACTCAGAAGCTGTAGGTAAGCACAGCCTGGAGATGCCCCTCCTCTGCATGCTTGAATCTTCACTTAGCAAAAAGTCTGAAAAGTGACTGAAACTTAAAAGCTGAACAAGTCTGGGCCTGATAGAGAGAGCTTGAAAAATTGTGTGACACAGAATACTACAGTAATTATAAACAGAATAAGAAGAGGTGAGGAGAATTATTCAGAGAAAACTGAAGAAGTAAAATTGGTGTGATGGAGTAGAAATGAGCAGTGAGAATTGGCATTTGAAACAAATGACTAAAAAACACTCTTCATCACAAACTTCTCTGTTACTATATAAATATAAATCTTCACTTTAAGATATGTGTTGGTGAGTTGGGAGGTTAAATGCAGCCTGGATAGAGAAAAAAATTTATTATTCATGTTCTTTCTTCCTTTCTACTTAAGTTTAGATGCAACCAAACAGTTAATTTGTATTGCTGTCTTGGCAAGAAAACCAACAAAAATGATTAATATGAGATTTCTCCAAATTCTTTCATTTAGCACTTGATCATCTGCTAGAGTAAACAGCCTTTGCCAGAAGCAGGTACAGTTTTGTTAAGGATGTCACAGTTTGCTTTTTTTTTTCTTATTTAGCTTTGCATGCTGTGAGATTTCTTCCAGAGATTTGATTAAACTTGGCAGGAATAAAATAAATCCATAAGTATTGTTGCCTTCAAAGCTACAGAATGTCCCAAATTCTTCCATGAAGCTAAAGGAGATTCCAGTCCAAGGACCCTTCAGATATTTTGATCTGATGTAAATGCTACCAAATACCAGAAAAGATGGTCCTATTTACACCCTTGGTTGCGTATTGGCACCGTCACGGTACCAGAGATAGCATTTGTAGGGTGAGTCAGATCGCCACACAGCTGCACGAATCTTCATGCTTACCTAAAGGAAGAAGAAGAGCATCCAATTGAGGGTGGCAGGCTTATGTCAGATTAAAGTGACTAGTAACACAGGCTAAAAAAATGTACAGGATATTGCTCTCAGCCTGCAAGCAGAAATCACAAACAATAGAAAACCTCAGCTGTGAGCACTGACCTTTCAAGCTAGCATGGTGGTAATAAAGTGTTTTGAAATGTGACCATCTGTTTTTGAATAGATAACTGGAAATTCAATTTATCACTCCCAAACTCCTTGACTTATTAAGTACCAACTAAGTGATTACTTACCCCCTCTAAAACCATAAAGTATATATCTCACAATACAACAATGTCCCCTGCTTTTTGCCTGTAGCTAGGCACAGACACTGATAGCAAAAGAATGCCCCAGCTGCTACCTGCATTCCTGAACATCTCACACAGCCAACCAGGAGGTTCAGCAGATCAAAAGCCTCTCCAGAACCTTCCTTCACCTTTCCCTTTCTTTTCCCGAATCTTTTCTTAAATTTCTGATCAACAGCTGGATGTGAAGGTCCCTAATGATCCAAACTTAGATACCTGTTTTTTTATTATTTATTACAGCTGTTGAAGCCCTACAAATCCAATTAATATTATTATCATTTCTGTTTATCAGAACATTAAATGAAGATTTTAACATGCATACTTCTGTTTGTTTGTTTTTATTGTTGTTGTTTGTTTGCTCATTTTTCAACTACAAAATCAGTAGCTATAACACATATCCAATGGGCCAATTGTAAATAACTGTGCATTACCATGGATCTAAAAAGAAAATGAAGGAAAACTATACAAAAGACAAGAAAAAATAAAGGAAATCACAACCCAAATGAGAGAGTGAATTTAGGAAAGGGCAAGAATTCTGTCAGAACGAAACCAACAGGATTTCTGCTGTTTGATCCGAAACTGAGTTTTATATATAAGTGTTGAGCTTCCCAGAGCAATCTTAAAATGTATAGCTCAAACACTTGCTGTATCTATTATCTTCATGTGGAACAGGCAGATTTTCATATATCCTTAAAGCCACTTCTTTTGAACACTTATTGTTGCAGTTTTACCTAATACGAACAGAAGGCGTTATAACAAATAGAACTAAAATACAAACTTCTATCAAATTTTTTTACCTAGTTCCACAGAGTGCCTTTTATCAAATCACATAGTGTCTTCTGATATTGCTGATATTTATGATGGAAATATGTGAATAATAGTGCTCAAAACAAAGTCACTTTGTCAGTATCTGAAGTCCACTCTGATCTACTTCCAGTGCTTATCATCTTATATTTGTTAACATTCTTTCTGCTGCTGACAGCAAATATGTAAGTGGTGCCTGGTTATGGGAATGGAGGATGCCTGAGCAGGCAGAATGCTGCTCTGAGAAAGCAAATGGGTCTTGAAAGACATACTGGAATAGGCTGAGAAAATATCTGAGCAGTATTAATCCAGAAAAGACAGAAAATTTGCAAGTCTTGTCCACATCCACCTGAATGATGGAGATGTCAGGAGCAGAGTGCTCTTCAGTTTCTTCCCCACCCCCTGAGCATTCCATCAGGCAGGATAAAAAGGTCTTGGATACAAAAGATCTGAGAAAGAGGAAATATGTCTCAGACTTGAAAGGAGACAGTTCAGGCCCAAGGAACTGGTTTTCTATTTTGATTCCTTCTGCCATCTGAAATAGCCATTCCCACTAATTCTCTTCAAATTCCTTTTGGGAGTCATCTGCTCAGTGGCTCTGAGCCTCTTCGACTGCCTAAAAAAGTGCATATCCCATTGCCTGAACTTCACAGTTTTCCAGTACTCAATCATTCTCTTGAAACTTGGCCATTGTTTCCATCTTCACCCCTGCCCTGCAGCATCTACAGATGCTTCCTGTAAAGCTGAGCAATTTTTTTGTACCATTCAGGCAAGTGTAGATAAAGCAGCTTTGAAGAATTTCATGATATGTTTGCATTAGTGATAATGTATAAAAATAAAGTGTTTTATTGCGTGACCAGCCCAATTTGATCTAGTCACTTCACTTGCTATCTCTTGCGGTAAAAAAGTGATAGGTATTCAAAAGTATGAGTACACAAACCTACCCGTAATTGTGCATATGTTTGCGTGTATATGTGTAAGCTGTGAGTTATTGCATCTGAATAACATCTGGGTGAATTCTCTAATGAGTCAGAGAGATAACCAGAATGTTGTTTCTCCAGTGATGTCCTTTTCTCTGGGAAAACAATTATAAAGACTATGGATAATTAATAATTATGACTTTGCTGCCATCATTACTACTTTCCCATAGCTACAGATTTGCTTAAAATGAGTGCTGAAATTTCAAATTGGGAGGTAAACATGGATAATGCTTGGAAAATGTCATGATTCTTTTCAGCATTCCTTTATAGTTTTCTGGGCTTGTACGTTGGTCTTAGTTCTCTGTTCATATGAATTTACCAAAGAATGATGCAAGTATGTTGAATAGCAGTGAAGGGTTGATGACATTTTAGAAACATCCCGAATAACCATTTATTTTCCCATGTGCAATACTTAACAACAGCTTCTTAATATGAAGTATTGACTATTCTGTCAGTTTTAGGAATGTCTGCAGCAAACAGAAGAACCATTGTTAAAATGCAATCAAGTGAAAGAATGCAGAAATGGATCAGCTAAACCCTTAGATTGCCCTCATTTCAATAGGAGTTTGCAGGGCTTGCAGTTTTTCTTAAAAAATAATAATAATAAAATAAAATAAAATAAAATAAAATAAAATAAAATAAAATAAAATAAAAAATAAA